AAAATTATATTCTATGCTTCTTTTTTCAACAGATAGCCTTCTGGCTATCTGTTGAAAAAAGAAGCATAGAATATAATTTTCTGGAAACGGTAAAAGCATTCGATGAAATGAAACTGTTTAATATGTTCAGCAAAAATATAGTTGTATATTTCGGATGACCTACTTAAGATTAAAACAGTTCGAACATTGTAACGCATGCATACACACACATACGTTACACACATACACATACACATACACACACACACACACATATACACACATACATTTACACAAACATACACATACACATACACATGCACACACACACACACACACACACACAAATACACATATACACGCACATATGTACACACACACACACACATACACACACACACACGTATACATACACACACCCATTTTTGAAAATAACAATGTAATTATCGATAAGAAACTGAAGCGATGATAAAATATGGAAAAAAATGATATTTAGTAAAAATTTAGATTTGTGATATTGCAAGGATAACGCATGCGAGAGGGATGAAGAAAGAAATAGTAGATAGAAAGTTATTAGAAATTATGTTTTTTATAATGAAATAATATATTTGAAAGGATCAGAAAGGAGAAAATATGACTACATTTATTAAATTCTTCTGATGCAATATGATAATTGAGTTGAAGCATCAATCAGATCAAAATTATCGATCAAATTGATTTACAAATAAATCCATAGAGAAAGAATAGAGAGAAAAAGGAAAAGTGTAGAAAGGATAGGAGAAGAAAAATTGGTACAGATGAATGGATGAAACGATGTTATAGAGGAATTATTCTCATTGAGAAGATCAATTATTATTCGATGAACAAAAAAAANNAGAAAAGAAAACAAGTAAACAGGTTAATAAACAAATTGCAATCACAGAGAAACTGACAAAGTATATGTATGTATAGAATTCCCTTCATTATATTAGCTACTAGCATTTTTCATTTTAATCGTAGTAAAGTGGGATAATGTAACGGTGCTACATGATGATAAGAGTGTAAAATAACGAGTGAAATAAATTGAACAAAAATTTCAAAAAATTTGCCGGACATTAATTAATATACATTGAAGATTTTTTTAATCGTTCCATTTAATCATTATCATCGCATATTGATGAAGTTTCTCTCGAACTATGCGTTTTTTAACAATAACAGTAATAATAAAAGTGTGCCATATTGCACAAATTAAATGTGTATAACATGAATAAAATGATAAGAAGAATAAAAAAAGCTTTTCTTTCACTATTAGCTGACTGATAACTTATCTAACTTGATTGATAAAAATTAAAGAAGAAAAAAAAAACGAAAAAATAACATGAAGTAAAAAAAAAACTTGATGTACGCCCGGTAGCGTCAAACGAGATAGAGAAAAAAAAAAAAGAGACAAAGAAGGAGGTATCACAAGATGAATTTTGATGAAATCCAATTTCTTTTACTTGCAATTTCAACATTTTGATAAAATCTAAAGATTGATAATTAAATGTGGAAAAAAGATGAGGATAAAAAATTACATTTCCTTCTATTTTTCTTTTTACTTCAATTTCAGCGGAAATTTTTTTAATGAATAATAATGAAAAATAATAATCAAAAGATGAAATGCAGAAAATGTTTGGTGTGTATGGACTATATATATATATATCTTATATATATACTTATATATATATATAAGTATATATAGCAAGTAGGTAACTAAAAGAGCATAGGATAATAAAGTACAGTGTACTATGGTATATGCCAGGATATAGTATCAGGTATATGGTAGAATATACAGTACGGCATGATAGGGCACAATATAATAACATATAGAACAGTTCGGAGTAGATGAGTACGATGACTGACCATAATTGAAGGGAAAAGAAAATTCCACTTCTTTCAATTTTTTTTTTTTTAGTTTTTGTTTTGTTTTTGTTACAGTGAAAAGTAGAATAAAATATTATGTGTGAAAAAGAAAATGATTGCTGTCTTTTTTTTTAAGCTCTACTACGACTACTACTATTACTAGCGTACTATACTTTGCAGTAGGATGATACTTAATGGTATATAATTACAATATTAAAATACATATTTATTTACACGAAAATACTTAAAAAAGAAACAGTAGGAGAGGAAACTTTTTAACAAACTCACAAATACTAAAAAAAAAACAATCATAATAGTAACGCAACAATGCAATAATAGAACCGGAGAAACATATTTCAATTTGAAAAGAAAAAGAAAAAAGAAAAAACGAATGAAGAGAAAGAACAAAAATAGCGAAACTAAAAAAAGAAAAAATGTAATTATTTGGTTATGATCTCTTTAAAATTATTTTAATTTATATCAATTTTTCTCTTGTAAGCAGGAAGAAACATGCATCAGGGAAGAGTGAAAACGAAACAAAGTAAAAATTTTCTCAGATGAAAAAACAAGGTAAAAATTTTTTTCTCAAATGATTGGGGAAATAAAAAGAAGGAAGCAAAGCATGCAATAATACCACCGGGTCGGATCTCATCGAAAGAACATACGGAAGAGATGTGTATAGGGACCATATCGCCAACAAATATCAATTTTGAAGAAAAGGGAAATTCAAAAAATGATTAAATAAATCTAAAAATGAAAAAGTTTTGAAAACTGCACCCATTCACCCTCACATATGAATAGAGGTGGTATAACGACTAATTATAGATAAAACAGCTTAAATTTAGGCTAAATGAGGATGAAATGAAAATTATACAATTCAACTGCTAACACTTACAAAGGTCACGGGTCAATGTCGTACCCAGGAACATTTGCCAAAAGCAAGTAACGAAGGTGACGCCTCTAAAGCAGTAGCAACATAGATACTCAAATTTTTTCGAAAAAAAATTTTAGACATGAAAATAACAAACAGGAGTAGGAGAGGATCGGACCTGAATTATCACTGTGACTTGTAAAAAAGTAAGAAAAAATCGCTAGTATAAAATAGGTCTCAAAACAAGCAGAGTGCTATCACGTGTATCTCAAACAACAAATTTAAAAAAATCAACCATAACCAAAAAAATTCAAGTTTAAACTTGAAAAATGCGAATTTTGAATATGAAACAAAAGGGATGGAGTATATAAATGGAGAGAAAGGTAAAGAATGAGAGTGATTTTTGTTTTGCCCTGCCAACTAAATGCGACAACACTGAAATTTTAAAAATTAACTACTAACATATTCGAAATGGACACAAAAAATCCAAGAAACAACAAAAAAGAAACACTTAAGGAAATTTCTTTCGAAAAAGGGCGTAGAAAAAAAAACTCTGAATTTCTGCAAAATTCTAAGAAAATTCTTTCCATAAACAATTTAATTTCTTTAAAGAAAGTCTCTATAGTCGTCACTGCCACTAAATATTTTTAACAATAAAAATAGAGAAACAAACCCTTTCCAGTTAAACAACTTTTGGAAATTCCTTCATCAGGAATACTTCAGAAAATGAAGTGATTAATATAACTATAACAATGGAATATTTCATTCTAGAGACTTTTTAATCGTAGAAATTTTGTTGGAAATAAGAAAAAAAACTGGAGAGGGAGGATAAAGCTCAATGGTAGCGGGGAGGGAAGGGTTTGTGATGGAGATGATGTGACTAGTAATGGAACAATGACGATTAACAACCAAAAACATTCTAAACGAATTGGATAAAAACAAGCTAGCAATAAGGATAATGACGATAACAGATCATTACCATGAAAAAAGTAGCTGGTGCCAGAAAATATTTCGTGCACACAAAGCATCAACAACAGTTTTTTCGAAAGAAAAAACATATCGTCAAGAAGAATGAAGGAAAAAAAAAACGCATTAACAAATATTATTCAGGCTTGAAACAGGGCTTACGAGCTCAAAATTGAATCCTCCATATTTAACAAGTTTAAATTTCTTCAGTATGAAAATTTTTCCTTTCTTCCTTTTGATTTTCTGTCTTCTCTTCTTCGCTTTTGATACCAAAATTTGCAGAAATTAATATAATTAAAATTCTTGCTTGAGCTTTTTTAAACACAGACTTTCCTCTTTAACATATTCGATTACGGCTGTTTCGTTACTCGTTCCTGCTTACATAGTTATTTGGGACTGCTTGCCGTCACTACTGCTCCCGCCGTCGTTGTTCCAGATGATTGATAACGATAAAGGTAGAGACGATAATCTTTGCTTGCCAGCACCACGGAACCGTCTTCAACAAGTGCTACATCGAAGCACTGCGCGTGCTTCACTTTGCTCTCAAGTGCCGAGATCATGATACCATCCTGAAACTATTCGCTTTCACACTTCATTTTTATCATTTATTTTCAATATTTAGTTCAGATGTGGATTCATCCCTAAAACTGTCAATCAATCCGATAAAGATGAATTTGTTTTTCAGAACATAACTGATGCTGAACTTACCTGACTGAAGACGGTGAGATTGAAATTATTATGGTTATCTGCTACAACAACATCACCAGCATAATTGATACCCACACCAATAGGATAGTTTGTAATACCTTCTCCGCCAATCTGACGAATAAATTGTCCATCATAATTGAATACCTATAAAAATATTGATTAAAAAAAGCAGATTTATAATTTAAAAACGACCCATCTTCATGTTTAATTATTTAAAGAATAAGATTGAATCATACTGACATTTACAGCTATATAATGATGTTAAATGAAATAAAGATTCCTAGTTTTATATACTTTTCACAGTCCTCCGTAATATTACCCTAAATAATATCAATTCTATTCTTCATATAATTCCATTCTTAAGTATACTGCAGGAACTTTCCTTTTGTGTGAAATTATTAGAAATTTTTTCCTTTTTATCATGATCTAAAGCGTAACATCGAAGATATGTCACTAACCGTGCTTAAGAACTCCATTAACCATAAAATCCTCCTTTCGATAATTATACTGACTCAAAATAAAATCATCATAATGATTAATTATACTGTCCAATGGTATGCTAACTTTGGAAAGAAATGGATGGAATATCAGATGACATTTCAGTTTAAGCAAACCTTTATACAGTGCGCACGATTGTCCGAAATTAAGATTTCTTGCTTGTGGTTTGTACAAACTCCATTTGGAAATTCCAAATAACGAGAGCAACTGAATTTTTGCAAAATATTACCAAACATGTCGAATATTATTACACGCATAACCTGAAAAATAACATCAAATTCCAATGTAAGCAAAAAAATTCAAAATTTAAGGAAATTTGAATCAAGTTTCACAAAAACCTGAAACATCTCTATTGGATGAGGCGAATTCAAACTGAATTTATAGACAAAACGAGAGTGAAACATATAGTCTTCAAGGTTGGTGACATACAAACTTCTTATTGGTTGTATATACGAGAAAAATATATATGAAATATAGTTATCACTAATTAAAATTGGTGAACAATTGCGGATAATGAATTCTAATCTTCCATAGGAAGCAGTGATCCCTTCTTAACTGCAGCTCGCCCAGAATTTCTACTCTAAGGTTATAAAATCGATTAAATTCCTAATTTAATTGATCATTGTTGTAAAGTCTCTAATTCCAGTTTATACGCCATTCAATATTATCACTTTAGCCACTAAGATTTAATATCGGACATTACAAATACATAAAATATGCTTTTTCATCTTCCAATGGTGTTCATTTAATGACTTGCATGAGGAAAACAAGTGAGCTAAGTTACAACTGCGCTTATTGCAATTTTTCAGTAATTAAAAACATATCAGGTTTTTCTCCAAGTGTGTATAAACAGTTGAACCTGTTGGAAAAGGAGTGATATGAACTGTTGCTGGAAAAGGAGTGATATGAACTAGCACTTACAGCAACTTATTATTTTCAGAAAATTTCAGAAATTACATAAATCTTGAAAAAAAAAAAAACTCGAAAAACCAATTCTCAATTTTTCATTTAAATTTTAACTCCTCTGGTAAGCGTCAGGCAAAAAAGGAATCATCAAGAGTTATCTGAGAAAGGTGCATTCTTATAAATTTGATTATCCAATGACAGATTTATAAATTATTCAATTAAAAAATGGTAAATTTAGGATAACCTGAATTTAAATGAAATCCATTGCAGATTCTATAAACTTACTTTACATTCAATTACAACAATACGTCCTTTACTATCAACACAAACACCACGCGGATGCTGCAAAATGTTTGCTCCAAATTTGCGCAAGAACTGTCCGTATTGGTTGTAAATTTGTATTTGATGTGTTGGCGAACGTTCGGTTACTATGAAATCGCCGGTGAGACGATTTACCGCCACTCTACAAATAACAAATTCACGCCAAAATAGATTTGACCATCAATCTTCGAACTTTTCTCGTAAATCGAAATACTGGATTAAATATCTTATCCAGTATCATTAACGATTTTGACATAAAGAGCAACTTCGGAATTCAAAGCCCTATGCAGTGAAAATTTCGATCTTTTTTGTGACATTCTTCTTAATCACAACATTCTCCAATTTATTTTAATATTAACTAAAGAAATTGAAAAATAATGCACGAACCGATTAGGATAAAGTAGCTGGCCATCACGCTTACCACATTCTCCAAACTGAAATTTGAAACGACCCTCTTTATCAAATACTTGGATACGATGATTGTTAGTGTCCGCAACAATAATATCATTTTGTGCATTGACTGCAACTCCGGATGGTTCCGTAAACTGAAAGAAATGATTTCATTGCTTGTTACTTATACCTAATTTAATCCTAAAAAACAAACAAACTTTAAAACGCAATTTTTTGGAGCACAGCCCACGAATTTATTTCAAAAGAGTACAAATGTGCTCAATCCAAAATTACTAGTTTACAAAATTATCACTTCATTTATGGAACCTAAAAAAGACTCCTATGAATAACTCAATCGGTGGTCTCCGCATCGGTGTGACTAGACTGAAGAAAAAACTTCTCTCCATCTTGGAAATATAACGATATTCAGTGAATCAAACTTTTTCTAACAAATGCAGCTGAAGTCGTCATAAATAAATGGCAGTGCTAAATCATTTTTTTACAAAAATAAACGAATTTGCACAGGATAAAAAAAAAAAAACTGAAAATAAACTTTGACCTAACAATGAAATCTATAAAAACTATAACTGAAAGAATAACCTGTCCTTCCATAACTCCAAATTCACCAAATTTGCAGTGATAGATCATCTTCTGTCTCTTGATTTGTGCCCGAGGTGGATAAAGATTGCTGATGCCCATATTCTGTGAATGAATCAACTATATTAGATGGAAAATTTCAACAATTTTGAGTTATAAAATCAACAAGCAAAAAATTAAGAAAAGCCTAATTCTAGAAGACTTGAAAATCCGAGTTTTATTTTTGACTAATAATAATACTTTTGTTCAGTAGCATAATTATCGCCATAAGTATGCCTTGCCATCTTTGACGACAAATAAAACTTAGGCTTCTTAAACGTACAATGTGACAGCACATCAAAACATAACTCCAAATCTTATTTACTAAATTACCAAGATCATTCTAAGATTTTTTAAATACAAACGAAAATAAAAGTGTTCTGTAAACAAACCTTTTCATGTTCTAAATCAGGTGATTCTGCAAGTTGTAAACCACTAGCTGGTTCAAGTCCCATGCTCCACTTCTCATACTGATTGCTAAAGCCATTATCAACTGTAACAAACGTTCCAAGACTCTGACTGGAGCCACCATATTCATTTTTAGGCCGTAGCAAATTTGAGTCCGAGAAATTATTGACAGGCAATGTACCATTCGTCGCTGTTACTGATCGAGCTAACTGTCGGCTAGCTGGTCGACCGATTGGTGCTGGTGGCATTCCCGCATTCGCTGATGACATTGTTCCTTGAGGCCATTCCGATGCACCGCGAACGAGGCCTGAAGTACTTTAACAATTTAACAAAATAATATTCAAGTAGTCTTACAAAAGTGCCAAAAGTGCCAAATTCTGCATTCTTCCGGGTAGAGATACTGCTTTGAGAGAAAAATGATAAATATAATATTCTACAATCAGTGTTTCATTGAAACATATGTTGTACCACCCCGCCTGTTATAAACAAATGATAGTACTGTTTTATCATTCACCAAATATTTTTGAATTTTAGTATTTCATACCAAATATTCTTTAATAGCTCCCCAAATCATGTTTTAAATAAATTAAATTTAATTGGAAGCGTATGAAAGTTAAAATGAATACTTCACGTTAAACATAAATATGTATTACATGTAAATTTCAAAAAAGACAAGAAAATGAAAAAGGACAAATGCACAGAGAAAAAAGCAGAAAAGAATCAATAAACCAATTTTTGATAGTAGAAAACAATAAATAAACCAGTTATATTCAGCTACTTTCTATCAAAACAGCTATTTTGATTTTCTTTTGCTAAGGACCTCACTTTTATAATAAATGTGATTTCTTTTTTAAAACAAATTCTGAGTTTTTTTAGAATATCAAACAAATATAGGCAGATAACCAAATATAGTGAAGAATGTAATTTTCAGTGAACGATAGCGCATGAAATTTACAAGTTTCAAGTTTCAAATTTACAATAATTAATTATACTTCCATAAGTCCACATATTCTCTTGTGTCGCTTATTTCCATTTACTATTGTTGCTTTTTTGCATTTTTGATATGTTTACTGATAAAAAATAAGTTCAACATCAAAATAATGGAGCAGTTTCAAACAGGAGCATAGATGGAATGACAGATTGTGTGAACTTACAGTTATCTAATTTTCACTTTAAAATCAATGGCAAAGTTCGAATAAGTGTGCCACAATAACTGGGAAAGAAAGAACGCACCCATAATACTGATAATTTGTTGACGTGCTACATTTGGATTCAGTGGCGGAAAATCAAGTTCGCATGTTGTTTGCAGGATGTTATTACTATCCGGATTGAATGAAAAGTATACTTGTAGACGGGTATGCAGAAGTTGCTTGAAAACCATTACTTCTGTTGGTGCAGCGTATTTGACAAGACGTGAGGTGAATTCAATCGTTTGTGCTAATTTTTCGGCCATTTGTTGCACCTAAGAAGTTTTAAAATTGGTAAATGCATAAATTTTTTGTCAACACAATCCTTACTTTGATTAAGTTCAAGCCATCAGCAATAATGGCTTTATAAATTATTTCTTAAATCATGAAGGTATCAACGAAAAAAGAACATTTTACATCAATGACTTTTGTTTCGACTGCTGTGAATGAGACTAAATGAAAAAAGCCATAATATACTTCCACAGAAACTCAGGAGTTTTTTTAAAGTTATCACAACCGCTGCATTATTACAACCGGAAATGTTTTTTAGTAAATTCCCAAACGTGAATGAGGAAAACGTAAAATTTAATTCCACATTAAATTTTAAGAAAGACACACCTTTTTGTCAATCACAGTGAGCTGCAATTGTTTAGCACCATAAGCATTATCCAAATCTTTGATAATCTGTCGACGATTATCTTCAATTATACGAATCAATGTTTGAGTTGCATCGTCTACATTTTGATGAGCTCTGGTCAGAGAGCAACTTAAACGATTTTGTGCTGCATCAACCATCTGAAATTTTTCAGCAAAAATTAATGTTTGGTAAATTTCTAATAATAATAAGAAAATGTTTAAAATTTCATCCTTCATTTCATCTTTAAATAATAGATATGTCAAATATGATAGCTTATAAAAATTTTAACTTCTGTAAAATCAAAAAAAAAAAATTTAGGAAAAGAAGATGGGAACATCATTTAAATAGCAGAAATCGAGTATAATGAGACCATACTTTATACGTTTCAAGAAGTTCAGAATGCTTCAAACGAGCATCCTGCACCAATGTTTCCATGATTGCCATTTGTTTTTCAGCCACATCACTGATCAATTCATACTGATGTGTTGGCTGTATATGATCAACCTGAGTACATTCCATACATATAGCCAGGTTACATGTTAAACAGAAGTATCGCAATGGTTGTGAGCGATGCTAAAAGGGAAAATACTTTTAGTACAAATACGGCCAGACCCACAATAACAGTAATGGTCTTAACTCCATCCTATCCAAAACAAAGCAATATACATCGTCATCAATTAGTGGAAATGCACACCAAGACAGCATTTCGACCTGTAAAGATCAGGCTCTCGACTGCTAATTATTGCTTATGTCGAAAATGATGAGAATGGCATGATTGTAAGTTACAAAACAACTTCAATTCTGCTCATCCTTCTTATTTTCACTTCCCTGGAAGGAAAATCGAATTTATTTCCATACATTATGTTCATATTCGAAATAATGAAACTTAAACGTTACTTGTATGCACTTGCAAGCAGTTTTTTCAGCAAAAGCAGCGGCGAGAGCAGCAGCATCCTCCTGAGATAATTGATCAACTCGATGTCCCTCGAAACAATGCATGTATTGATGAGCCAAAGTACAGTTGGCACATAAAAAATGTGTGCAATCCTGGCAAAATGCGCTTGCAAGTTCGCCGCTTTTGCATCCCGTACATGATGAATTCTTATTACTGTTCTGTAAAAAGATACATAAAAAGATGTATGCGAAAGGTCTTATAAGCTCTAGCAAATCGTGCAACAAAATTCAAAAGATTAGTTTTAATAATAAAAATGGACAAAAACCTGATCGTATGAAGTAGGTTCAATCAATGGCGGTGAAGATGATGTCGAACTTGGTGAGCCGAATATCAGACCTTTATCATCGCCTAAATTCTGGCGAGTCATAACACTTTCCAGTCCATAATCAGTTAATAAACTTTCTATACCTGAAAATATAATGCATACATCAATGTAATCATTAAAAGAATTGTCTATTCAAAAAAAAAAAAAAAATCGTAAGTTTTGTGAAAAAGTTATCACCCACATAAAAATAAGTTTCACTATAATTTGATCGTCTTTCAAGGCAAAAAATTCTTCGCTGATATCAGCGGACATCATAAAAATTTTTCTCTCATTCATTGAAATAGAGAAAAAAAAGAAAAAAAAAAACAATCCTGACCTATAATTCTGCACGTGATTACTAAAAGATGAGATCCCACTGCCCCCTTCCGTTTTGCAATCAATCACTGCTTTTTAATTTAGCTTCACTCTTTCTTGAAACTTTGACTTTTGAAGTTAAAGAAATGAGATAAAAATACAACCCAACAGGATGGCCGAAAAAAAGTTTTCAAAGAAAGTCTGAAAACACGATTTAGATTACGAAAAGAGTGCAGTAGAGCTAAAGGAATAGTTATGCCTATCTATAGTTTTAAAACACTGCTCACAAAGTCTTTTTTGTTAGAGCAAAAAAAGCTATAAAATATTTAAGATTGCTAAAATTCATAAGATACTACTATATTAAATCTTATTCGTTTTCTATCTCTCCAACAGTGACAAATGATGCCAATTTTTGTTAAAAAATTCAAAAAAAAAACAATGAAACATGTTTTTCGTCTCGTAAATATAAAAATAATTGCTTTGCAAATATTTATTGCTACAAACTGCAAGGCGAACAATCGTATTCACCATCAGAAGGAAAGATTTATCACTTAGCCAAACTTATATTATGAAATGAATAAGCTACTCGATTATGAGGTAAAAAGAAGATAAATATTTATCATTTTCAGTAATGCTGCAGCTCTAATTAAAAATTATTCTACTCATTAATTCAACGAAGTAGTCCAGTCATGTTCAGTAGAGAGTTTCGTAAGATCCGAAGGGAAAAAAATCCATAATGTTTGGTAGATGAGGAAATTGTTAATGATCTTTTCTTTTCCTCCGTTTATCTGTATTTTTCCTCCAGTCACCAATTTCTTTTTTCTTCACACATTCCATATTTAGATATTTCAAGACCTAATTATTCCTCACCTGCTTTCAGAAAACGTCTCAATGTCGTCTTAGTAAAATTTAGAAGTTCATCAGACAATTCAGACCATTCTGATGAACTACAATAATAGATAGCAAGTATTTGAGGATTAGACATTTAGTTAGCAGTTAGTAATGAACAAAACAAATAAGCAGTTCGCGAAATAGAATAAATAATAAATGAGAATATGCTTTACCAAGCTGTATTGATAACTGTGTTTCAACGCGACATTGTGGACATACTATTTTTTCCGCACAGTTATCATCCATCTGACGTTCCAAGCATGATTTGCAAAAACTGTGGAAACATGCCAGAACCTTTGGCTCACGATAAGGTTCCAAGCATAACGGACATTTTACCACCTGTAACATCTAGAATTATTCAAATCGTATGCAAAATTAACGCCGTTTGTAGCTCATTTATTTATTTAACCAGAAAAAAAAAATCATGCAATTAATTTTTAAAGTAATAATTCATTAGGTGTTTATTTCTTAACTTACGAAACAATTCATTTATCTAATTTTAATGAATGAAATTCGATTATTTCAGATACAAGCTGTCAACGATTTTTCGAATTAACTCATTTAATTATTCACTGACTGAAAAAACCTTCGCTATTCCAAACTCAATGGGCTAATGCTGTATTTAACTAACTTCAAATTCAAATGGAACTCAAACACATAATAATTTATTACCGAACTTGAAAAATCATCAAAAATTTTTTATTTAATTTTTTTAGGGTAAAGTTAGTGATTACTTATCGATCTCAGTAACTTGATTGTTTAGCAAAATGTCAAACACCTAATTTACTCATTCAATTTCAAACGACTGAAATCCGACCGTTCAATTATATGTATTTTCTTTTTTAATAACAAATGAAACCTAAAATTTTAAAATGAACTGAATACAACAAAAATTTTTTTGATGAAATACTATAAAAATTATATAAATATTAGCTGCAGTTTGCAATGACGAAAATTTCCTCTATGCTGCCTTTCAGTCTTTTCAATTCATCAATAAATCTGCCATCTTCCCATTTTTTGACTTCCCAGACATACCCAAGTACAACTCAATATCTTACCCAAAATAAATGCAGCTGTAACGAAGAAACTTTAAAGATGATTGATTCATCGTTTCTGACCAATCAATCTTTGCAATCCATTAAAAGCAAAATAGAAACAAAATTTATTTGATTATTTGATGGATCTTTTACTTTGGATACGTAAAAGACAATATGACGGGGACTAATCTGCATATAGAGTTATTATGCATCATACTAATTTCCATCAGAAACAGTGATAATGCCTCTATAAGAACCGAATTCAAGGATTCATAATCTGCAAATACTATCCTGGCTCCACTTGTCAGTTCATTTTTCCGTCCCCATATCACACTTCCAATTTTATGAATGAATCCTGCAGGCCAATAATACTTCAGACTTTAAATAATTGTAACAAGTATTTCTAATCTGTAAACCGTTCATTCGTCAATCCTGTTTAATGGATTTCATTTCAAAGGATACATTTCGCATTTATTTAAATCAATGCTTATGCATGTGTTCATGTGTGTGTGTGTGTGTGTGTGTGTGTACGTGTGTGTGCGTGTGTGCGAGATATCTATTATCCGAGTCTGTTTTGTGTATCACCTCCATGTATAATTCATTTCATTTCCTTAACCTGGGAATTTTCCTAAAAATTATTTGAAAATCAAGCTTCTCATAATTATTCTTTCTCTTCTCAAGCTAGTTGAGAATCTGAAATTATGTAAATTACTTTCAATAAAATAACAGATCTATTCCATAGATTTTTTGGCTTCTGCAAATGATAGATATAAAATAAAGGTTCTATTCGATCAAACCTATGCGAATGTATTTTTATGCCTTCAATGTACGCCAGATATACAAGTGTATATCAATAATGAAGCTATAAATATTCTATTAACATATTTTCTGTTAAAATTCCTCGTTCTTTTTTCGAAATATTTCTGTCATTACCTAATGCAATAACTTCTGACGTCATATATGACATCAAATGCTTCGACATCATTTTGAAACAAACCTACAGAGCAGAAAAAGAAAATTTTTTTTTTTTTTTTTTGCAAACTTATTATTTATTACTGAAACATGCAGCTTGCATATGCAGAAAACAAAAACTCCAATTCTCTTTTCTCTTTGAAATGAATAACTTTCCTCCTTCGTTTCTCCATAAATACGTATTATTATACATTATTCACTAATACTTTCTTTAAAAATCACAAATATATAAATAGTACTTTTGATAAATCAAAGAGGAAGAAAAAAAGTTGTGCATTTCAAACTGCACAAAAATAAACCCATTAAAGAATAAAATCACTATCGTTTTTAATAATTAAATTAAAATGGTAAAAAGGTGCTCATATGAGGAATATATGTATGTAATATATCCAAATATTTCTTCCATTTAAAATCTAAAACTAACTTTTAAAATGATTTAAAGTCAAAAAGAAGCAATCATCTAAAGGTAGCTAAATGAATGATATTTATCATTTCGTTTTCGGTATGCTAAATATACATCTTCAACATTCATATCTCTTCTCCTATTTCTCATTCCGGCTTTCCGGAATGCAAAATATGAGAGAATTGGAGAATCATCGAATCAATCTCAAACATACAATCACAGGCAAACACATCCCCTCTTAGACGATTACACTGACTGCGAACAATCGTTTCAAGATGCAGCATTTGGAAATTTTCGTATATTACAACTTCGTAGCAGCAATTTGAAAAAAAAAATATTATTTAAAATTGAAAATGAAATGAATTAAATTACCTGCTCATTGAGA